CCCCATCCGGGAGGCCTAGAACGCTCGCGGCGTGGACAAACAAACACACGACGGGAGGGTTATGAGAGTTTTCGGCCCGCGGGGGCCCTCGCCGCGGCATGGGTGGGTGCACACCTACACCTAAGGGGCAACGTAGGGGGGGGGGATAGGGATACGTAGGGGGGAAGCATCGACCTGGCATCGGCGATACATCGCCGATAGGCCCCCGGGAGTGAATCCGCAACTTCCTGGGCAGGCTGGGGCTATCGGGCCCCCATCGGCGATCAGTGGGCGATTGGGGGTCGGTGCGCTCCCCCCCCCCCCCTACGCCTGTACCCTGATGGTTTTCGGCCATTTGGAAGGATTCCAGCACCCAAGGAACGCCCCCCACAAGGCGCAGCTGCTGGAACGCATCCCGAGGCTGGAAAGCCACCGCAAACCGACGAATACGACGGAAGACCCAGATCATCGAATAGAACACGACCGAGAACCTGTGCCTGTCCCCCCCTGTCTCTGTCCAGGCCATCCAGGGGGGAGGAGGAGGAGGAGGAGGAGGAGGAGGAGGGAAAGGAGGAGGAGAAAAACGAGGAGGAGGAGGATGAGGAGGAGGAGGAGGAGGATGATGATGAGGAGGAGGAGGAGGAGGAGGAGAATAAGGAGGAACGAAGAAGGAGGAGGAGGAGGAGGAGGAGGAGGAGGAGGAGGAGGAGGAGGAGGAGTAGGAGGGGGACGAGGAGGAGGAACACCGACTCTGGCCAGGCTCATCTAGGGCCCAAGACCGGTGCAGTTGGGCGCCCCTCTGGCTTGTGGGCAGGGCGGCGCATGCACGGGGCCTGGGCCCAGGATCGGCCTTGCCACGATCGGTGCACGGGCAGGGCATTGGGGAAGGAACGGCGGCGAGCGAAAGGGGGGAAGTTTCGGGCTCGAGGTTCGAGGTTTTGGGACGCTTTCGTCGGTGGTCGGCGGTTTTCCAGCCTCGGGATGCTTGCTAGCAGCTGCGCCTCGCCGACGGCGTTCTGGGGGCGCCCGGATCGTCCCGAACGCCCGCTGGAGACCCGAGTTATGAACAAAAACCCAATTCGGCGGCAAGCGAGGGGGGGAAGTGAGAAGGAGGAGGCCTTCTCAGAAGGCGGCGGGACTTCTCAGAAGCCCTCGCGCTCTCTGACAGATGTTCTGCGTCTGCGGGGAAGGCTTAGGGAACTTCTCAAAAGGCCGGGGGGCTCCCGAGCCTTCCGAGAAGGCCCGCTGCTTCTCACTTTCCCCCAGGGCGCGCCGCCGAGATGAAGAATCCAGGGTCTGGAAGCCGTTGGGACTCCAGTCGTGGATTGGCCATCTGCCGCCCTCATCAGAGGAGAAAACCCCCAGAGTCTGTGGGCACATTCCGTGACACACGCTCCCGCCGCGTAATTACGGTCGGGGGTTACTGGAGAGGCCGGGCGAGAGGATACGGGACCCTTTCCGAGGGCCGCGCGTGGCCGCAGGCGTGCGGAAGAAGAGGGCCCGGGCAGCGACGCGTGGGACACGAGGGCCCCCTCGCTCGGGCAGGGCCGACCTACGACTCGGCCACGACTGTGTGTGTGTGTGTGCGCTCGTTGGTGCCATCGTAGTCCTCGCGGGCGCCGCGCCCCCCCCCCCCTGGTGTGTGTGTGTGTGTGTGTGTGCGTTGGTTGGGGCCCTCGTAGTGTGTATGTGTGTGTGTGTGTGTGTGTGTGTGTGCGTGTGTGCGTGTGCGTTGGTTGGGGCCCTCGTAGTCCTCGCGGCGCCGTGCCCTTCCGCGGGCACCGCGCCCCACGGGGCGCCGCAAGCTCGAGCCGCGCCGTGGCAGCAGGGGGGGGCGGGGCTCGGCTCGCACCCCGGCCGGCCCCGCGCGGGCTGGCGCCCAGGCCCAGCGGGGCTGGCTGCTCGTGTCGCCGGCGCCCGCCGCTCGAAGCTAGGAGGAGGAGGAGGAGGAGGAGGAGGAGGAGGAGGAGGAGGAGGAGGAGGAGGAGGAGGAGGGGGAGGAGGGGGAGGAGGGGGAGGAGGGGGAGGAGGAGGAATGAGGAGAGAGGAGGAGGAGGAGAGAGAGGAGGGAGGAGGAGGAGGAGAAGGAGGATGAGGAGGAAGAGGAGGAGAAGGAGGAGGAGGAGAATCTGACCTGATCTGAGAACCCGTAGGGACCAGGGCAAACCTGGGCGCACTGCCTCAAGATCAAGCCAGCGGGAACTTGCCACCACTTTTGGGGGTGTGAACCCCTCGCCAGTCTGGACAGGACTTCCGTCCTTGGGGGGGAGGACGGCCAGTCTTGCATTGGCGCTCGCAAAGCAGGAAGCTACGCAGGACTTTCAACCGACGATTGCCGGCACGTCCAGCATGCGAGGGGCGGGCAAGAGGGTGTCAGAGCTCTCGGGACCCAGACATCTGGCTGCTCCAAGTTTTTGAAGCGTGGGCCCCAGAGGTCTCAACCAGTTCCTCCGGACCAGCTTTTCGTCCTGAGTCGTTTTTGACGCTCCCGAGGCCAGGCGAGGGCCCCCCAGAGGCCGAAAACGGCCAAATCCCGCCGCCCTAAGTTGTTGGAAGCGTCGGATCTCTGGGGAGCGGACCGCGCCCGTCCTTTTCGTCGACGCCGCTTGCGTCGCCTGCGCGCGTCTTCCTGCGTCGCCCGTGGCGCCCCCCAGACATGCTCGCGCCGCAGCGACAACAAGAGCACACGGGAGGTGCGTTGCCGTTCTCGGCCTCGGGAGGCCGTCGCCGAGCCCCGGGGCATCGTCGGGAAACTGCCCGGGATGGCAAACCGACCCGGGGGAAGGGGCCCTCGAACTCCTCCTCCTCCTCCTCCTCCTCCTCCTCCTCCTCCTCCTCCTCCTCCTATTCATCATATTCATAATTCAAATTGTATTAACAACATCATAATTCCTAATAATACCTACCCCCCTCCTCCTTCCTCCCCTCCTCCTCCTCCTCCTCATCCTATTATTCATCTCCCTTCTTCCTCTTCCCGTCTTCCCCTCATCCTCCTCCTCCTCCTCTATCCATCCTTCCTCCTCCTCCTCTCCACCTCTCCACCACCTCCTCCTCCTCCTCCTACCCCGGCCACCAGATCTGGGCGTGGGACCTTCATAATCTTCGTTTCTGTGTCAAGTGCGGCCATACCGCCACTACCGACCCTCGGCATTTGTTGGTGGCTTGCCCCCCCGATCCGCAGCCGCAAGGGGCAAGAGAACCTTGCGAGGATCGCGAAGGGGAAGCACCCCTCGTACAGAACCCCGAGGTCGGCGTACTCCGCCAGGGTTGACACCCCTGCGGGCCTTGCTGTTGCTGCTGCTGTGGGACAGGGTCCCCCTTGAACTCCGAACTCCTCCTCCTCCTCCTCCTCCTCCTCCTCCCCTATTTCCTCCTCCTCCTCATCCTCCTCCTCCCTCCTCCTTTCCTCTCCTCCTCTACTTCCTCTCCCCCTCTCCTCCTCCTCTCCCTCCTCGTCTCCTCCTCCTCTCCTCCTCCTCCTCCTCCCCTCTTCTTCCTCTCCTCCTCCTCCTCCTCCTCCTCCTCCTCCTCCTCCTCCTCCTCCCTCCTCCCTCCCTCCTCCTCCTCCTCCTCCTCCTCCCCGCTCCCTCCTCCTCCTCCTCCTCCTCCTCCTCCTAACTCCTCCTCCTCCTCCTCCTCTCCTCCTCCTCCTCCTCCTCACTCCTTCCTCCTCCTCCTCCTCCTCCTCCTCCTCCCCTCCTCCTCCACCCCCTCCTCCTCCCCCTCCTCCTCCCTCCTCCACCTCCCTCCTCCTCCTCCTCCTCCTCCTCCTCCTCCTCCTCCTCCTCCTCCTCCTCCCCCTCCTCCTCCTCCTCCACCTCCTCCCAGGACGCCGAGGCCAAGACTGGGGACAACATCGCGAGGACTTTGTTCGACGGCGAGGGGCCCTCGAAGCTCGTCCTCCTCCTCCTCCTTCTCCGCCTCCTCCTCCTCCTCCTCCTCCTCCTCCTCCTCCGCCTCCCGCTCCTCCTCACGGGAAGACGAGGCCAAGACTGAGACAACACCATGGCAGGCCAGGATGGAGCGGGGACCTCCGAGACCCGGCGGCCCTGGAGGACGCATCGGGCGCCGCGGCCGTTCCGGAGCGCTCTGGGACGCTCCGAGGCGAGCAGGTCCCAGACATGCGAGGAGGAGGAGGAGGAGGAGGAGGAGGAGGAGTAGGAGGAGGAGGAGGAGGAGGAGTAGAAGGAGGAGGAGGAGGAGGAGGAGGAGGGAGGAGGAGGAGAAGGAGGAGGAGGAGGAGGAAGAGGCCGACTGAAGGCGAGGCGAGGAGTGGAGGCGACTGATCAACAAACCGTCCCCAGACTATTGCCTTACTATTTTGGAATACTTCTCTTGTAGAGGGCCAGGCCCGACTGAAGGCGAGGCGAGGAGTGGAGGCGAGCGGGGGCGCCCCGCGCCGGAGGAGCGGAGGGGCACAGGGCGAGGCGAGGAGCGGGGGGGGGGGCGCTCCGGACGCTTCCGCCGGCCAGGGCAGCTGCGCGCGCGAGCACGGGCCCGCCTCCCGCGGGCTCGGAGGGCGCTTTTGCTCGGGTGGTGCGCGCGCGGCCTGCGCAGGGGCCGCGCAGCTCCTCGCTGTGCCGTGCTGATGATGCGGACGGCCCCCGGAGGGGAGGGGAGGAGGGAAGGGGAGTGGAAGGAGCGTGGGACGGAGGGAAGGAGAGGGAGGGGGGGGGGGCAACTCAGGGGAGGGCAGTCCGCCGGAGAAGGGGACGGAAGGGGGGGGTCGCGAAGGGAGGGCGCGACCCGGACTCCGACCACGCATATCCCCCCGCACCTGACTTGACAACTCCTGCCCTGATCGGATCTGATGGCGCCCGTCCTCTGGTGGCGATTCTGCCACCGACCCTGCCCGTGCGTTCGCATTTTCAGACGCTGGCGTCGCCTTCATGTCTCCATCCGCTCCCTAGGAAGACTCGTAGCGGCCGAGATCGCCTCCGTCAGCCGCACAATAACAAAAACTGTGGCAGCGTCTATTGGCTGGTCTAACTGCAACGGCCTGTTGTGCTCAGAGGAGGATGTCAATGTGGCAGGAGCTGTGGAGGAATCCACCTGTCAACAGCGCCGCAAGAGTCCCAGGCAGAGTTGCAACTGTCGAGGAGCGCACCATGAGTGCGAAAGGAACGCAACTCCAGACCACATACTCCTCCTCTTTGTTGTTTGTTTGTTTGTTTCTTCTTGCGGGCTTCAGCAGCGGAGCTGTAGCGCTCATGCGGCAAATGGTGGCAGACAAAAACAATCAAAACCGACTGCGTGGAGAAATAAGCGGCACAGAGAGGTGCAGAGAAAAACAGAAAAAAAGCGGAGAGCCAGTGAGGGCAAGAGGCTCAGATCCCTGCAGGCGTCGGCAAGGCTACCTCCACCTCCTCCTCCTCCTCCTCCTCCTCCTTCTCCTCCTCTTCCCCCTCCTCTTCGTCCTCCTCCCCCTCCTCCTCCTCTCCCCCCCCTCCCTCCCCCTCCTCCTCCTCCTCCTCCTCCTCCTCCTCCTCCTCCTCCTCCTCCTCCTCCTCCTCCTCCTCCTCAAGCCTGGCCGCCTCCTGCTCCAGCTCGATGTCCTCCTCCACACGGCGGCTTCCAGGAGCCCTGAACCCCAAACATGTTTCCATCTCTTTGGGGCGCATCTTTTGCTTCGCAAGCTTCTGCCGCCTTCCGCCGACCTTCCGCCGCCTTCCGCCGAGGAGGATGTGACAGCTCATTCGATCCTTGAAGGAGAGGCCCGTTCCCAGAGCCCCTGTGGGCTCCCCCCCTGCTGACCCAGTCGCTCCAGGAGGGGCAGGAGCGGGAGCAGGAGGCTCCCTGCCTCCCTGGGAGCACTGGCTTCCGCTCCCGCGGTCAGGGCCTGGGAGGCTCCAGCGCCCCTCCTGGGAGCGCTGGCTCCCGCCGGCCCAGTCGCTCGCAGTCACCCCCCCCCCCCGTGTGCTCCCGCTCCCGCTCCTGCCCCTCCCTCCTGCTGCTCCCGCTGCCCCTCTGGTCCCCCCTTGTCCCCCTTGTCGCCCACGTCGCCAACGTCCAGAGGCCTCCCAGGTGGGGACCGGGTGGAGGGGGTCGGAAGATCGCGCCGCGTCACCGATGCATCGGCGATACATCGGCGATGCATCGGCGAGGCATCGGCGACGTCGGCGATACTTCGGCGCCGCCGGCGTGGAGGAAGTCGGGCTCCACATTGAGCCGCATCGCTGAAGAGTCAGCGATGCGGCGCGATCCTCCGACCCCATCCACACGGACCCCGCCTTGGAGGCCTGGAGCGTCGCCGTCGCCCTCCTCCTGTCGCTCTTTCTTCCCAGAGATCCCACGCTCCAAGACATTGGAACGGCCGGTGTCGGGCTGTTTTCGGCCTCCGGGGGTCTTCGCCGGCCCTCGGGACCATCAAACAAAAATTCAGGACGAAAAGCCAGCCCCAGGGAAGTGGACCAGAACTCTGGGGCCCACGCATCGAACAAATTGGAGCAGCCGGATGTCTGGGCGCAAGGACATACTGGTACTAGATGTCCTCCTTGGAAGCGTGCGCCCTACTCGAACATATAGTATAGCCATCTTGTAGTAGATCGTCTCCCAAACAGTATGGCCAGAAAACGCCAGGCACGGCGCTCATACCATGAGATGTCCCGGCGCGCGCGCGTCGCCCCTCAGGGTGGCGACGCACACATAGTACTGATATGCTGGGGTGAAGCCGATTCCTCGTCCCCGGCCCCTTTCCAAGATTCCTCTCGTTACTACTTGCGGGCATGAGTCGGTCGGGCGGCCGGCTGGTGGATTTGGATCTTGACCAGGGCAGGGGAAAGCGGGAAGGGAGGGAGGAGGGAGGGACGGAAGGTGGACGGAAGAAAGAAGGAGAGGGGCTGAATGAGATGGGGGAAAAGGAATGAGAGGGGAGAAACGGAAGGTGAGAGAGGGGAGCGAGTGAGAGGGGAGGGACTGGGGCAGAGGAAGGACTTGGAGCAGAAGGGACGCTGCGGCTCGCGCGCAAACACGCGCGCGCAGCACAAACTGGCAGCTCAAAGCTCCTTTGTGCGCTGGGGGCTGCATCGTATCGCAGACTCCGTAAGTCTCGGGCATCCGGCGGCAGGCGGCCATCCGGTAAGACTCGAGCACCCCCGAAGCGCGCTCGGCGAGCGGAGTACAGCTGGTGGAAAGCCCCCCAAGGCAACCAACACCTCCCAAGAGCCAACAAATGTCAAGAGCTTTTGACAGCATAACGAACTCCCCATCCCACCTCTCCGCTCTCTGGAGGCCTCCCATGAAGGGTCCGAGCAGGTGAGTCGGAGGATCGCGCAGCAGCGCCGATGCATCGGCGCCATCGGCGTGGAGAACATCGGGCAACACATCGAGCCGCATCGCCGGTGCATCGGCGATGCGGCGCGACCCTTCGATCCCAGCTGCTTCGACCCCACCCCCATCCGAGAGGCCTAGATCCTCTCCCGGGGTGCGGTCGGACCATAATCTCGCGGCGAACCCAGCCGTGGCGACGAGGGCCCCCAAGAGGCCCGAGACAGCGAAAACGAGGGAAGGGGCAGCGGTGCCGATTCTTCCTCTGAGCCACTCACTCCCTTCTCTCCCTTCCCAGACATCCGGACGCGCCCATTTTTTCGATGCGTGGGCCCCCGGAGGTCTGGACCACTTCCCCAGGGCCAGGTTTTCGTCCTGAGTCGTTTCTTGACGGTCCCGAGGTCCGGCGAGGACTCCCGGAGTCCGAAAATAGGCCAAAACGGGTCGCTCCAATCTCTAGAGGCCTCCTAGATGGGTTCCGAATAGACGGGGTCGAAAGATCGCGCCGCATCGCCAATGCATCGCCGATGTGACGGCGATGTATCGGCGATGCTTCTGCAACATCGGCGATGCATTGGCGGCGTCGGCGTGGAGAAAGTCAGGCTCCACATCGAGCCACAGTGTGGAGAAAATCGGGCTCCACATCGAGCCGCATCGCCGCGATCCTCCGACCCCATCTACTCGGAACCCGTCTAGGTTTAGGTCGGGCGTGTCTTCCTGCAGGCGGTTTTTGGACGAACAATAGAATAATGAAAGCATATGGTTTACACATGTATGTATATATATATATATATATACACAGGAAGATCGTACCTGGACTATTGTTTGACTATTCTTGCATTTTCCTCCTGTATGGGGACACGCCCGACTTGACTCTGGGAGGCCTCGAATCTCCCGGCGGGGCCGCAGCGTGCTCTCCCCAGAGGCCCCCGCTGGCCTCCGACGGCCGCGGCCGCGGCCCAGCGCGGCGCAGGGAGGCGGATGCGGGGCATGCGGTGGGGGCATGCGTGTCCCCCTACAGGGGAATTTTCGACGAAAAAAAGCTACCCCCAAAAAATACCCCCCAAAGGTAAAACAAAAAAAAATACTCCAAAAATAGTCCCCAGACTATTTGTGGACTATTTTTTGATTATTTTGGGGGTATGTTTTATTTTTCGTCGAAAATCTCCCTGTAGGGGGGCACGCCCGACTTAAGAATAAGGATCCCTTCGATCAGGAAAATCCAGGGTCTGGAGGCCGGTGCAACTCCAATCGAGGCCTGGCCATGGACAGCACCGCCGCCCCCCTCAGAGGAGGAGTCCTCCAGGGCCTGCGGCCTCCTGGGCGAATTTTCCTGGACCGACGCGCCCCCACCGTATAGGGCAGGCAGAGAGGGCGCGAGCCGAGCGGCCACATGGAGGGCCCGGTGGTCTTCGCGAGTCCTGCCGTTGGAGGAGGACGGCGCGGGGGGGAGGGCGCGCTGCCACGTCGGCGTCGTGAAAAACAATCACGACGCCGTACTGGCCATCGCTCGGACGTCCATTCCCTGCGTTTCTTTGTGGTTTCGTGCGTGGCATTTTCGCCAAATGATCAAGGATGCTCCTCGATGGTCCTCGCCGAGGAAAAAACGCACACGTCCGAGCGATGCCGAGATGACGTAGCGAGCGACCTTGCGCGGTGGCTTACGCGGGCCGCCGGCGCGGCACGCTGCATTGGAGACGAGGGTGCTTCCACCCGACCTTACGCGGGCAGCTTACGCACCAATGTCAGCGCACACGACCCCGCTGTTCTGCACTGCACACACAAACAAATATACACCCACCTTTTCCCACATCTTCCCGGGAACCGACGATTGCTCGTGTGTGTGTGTGTGTGTGTGTGTGTGTCTCTTTCTTCCCCTCCTGAATGTTCTTGGCAATTCTCGGCCTCTGGGGGCCCTCGCCGGGTTCCGGGGCCGTCAGGGGCACGACTCGGGAGGAAGCCCCGGCCCCGAGAGCCAGGTCGGGGCTTCCGGGGCGCGGCCCCACTTCGAGAGCAAGCCGGGGCGGGGGCCCGAGGCAACCTGGCAGCAACAGGCCGCGGGCACTTCAACGTTGGCCCCTTGGCGCGGGGGGGACGCCGTGTGGCGGGCTCAAGGCTGTTTTTTTGCTGTCGGCAGCGAGGCAGAGGCGGTCCGCACCAGCGTGAGGCGAATCGGGGCAGCCGAAAGGCAGATGGTCCGGCGTGCAGGAGGAAGGAAGGAAGACGAGGGCGGCCGCGCGGGGGGGGGGGAGGAGGGGGGGAAGCGCTCAGACGTGGAAGAGTCCCGCTCGGTTCTAAACACCCTTGACCAACAAACCTTGCCATCTCTGGGGAGGCCGATGTTCTCTTCCGACCGCTTCCGCCAGCGGAGGCAACCTCGTTTCGCGTCCGCCGGCCTTCCATCGAGGAAGAGATATCGACTCCTGCGATCCTTGAAGACCAGGCCCTTTCATGCCTAATATGTTGTATGCGATCGTTGTCCCGTTCAGATTCTGTCTCCGCGCTGTGGGCGTGAGCACTTTGTTTGCCCACCGTCAGGAGAAGATGAGTTTCGTGTGCTTCTTGCCCTCCTTCCTTCCCTTGCACCTCCTCATCCTGCCCCTTCTTCCCCTCCTCCTCCTTCCTCCTCCTCATTCTCTTCCTCCTCATCCTGCTCCTCCTCCTACTCCTCTCCTGCTCCTCATCCTCCTCTTCCTCCTTCCTCCTCCTCCTCCTCCTCCTCCTCCTCTTCCTCCTCCTCCTCCTCCTCCTCCTCCTCCTCCTCCCCATCCTCCCCCTCGCTCCTCATCCACTCCTCTCCCCCTGCTCATTCTCCTCGTTCTTCTCCTGCAATCCCTCTCCTTCCCGCGTCCCTCCTGCCACCATCCGCCCTCCCCCCTCCTTCTTCCCACTCCATGCCGCATATGTCTCGTCTACAAGCCCCAACGCCGTCCATTCTGGAAGAGCATGGCCATGATCGCGACCTCCCCGATTCCGCCCAAGTGCGCGCGGCACCCAGGTATACGTGCAGAGAAAGCACGAGAACATAGGAGGCGGAGGAGCGAGGAGGGAGCACGAAGAAATGGAGAAGCAGGGATGGGGGGGGTGTCGGGGAGGTGGACGGGGAAGGGAGGAAGAGGGGGTGATGGGGAGGACGCAGAAAGATTGAACAGTACGGGATGACGGTGGTAAAACTTAGTGCTGCAAGATCTGAAGAGGATCAGGAGGAGGGGGAGGAGGAGGAGGGGGAGGAGGAGGACGGATGGAGAAAGACATCATTACTAGGAGTATGCTGTTCTGCTTGCCGAGGCGCGCGCCCAAACACTATCTCCATCATATAGACTTGGATGTGTTTCCACAGCTTCGGGGCCAGCAAGGCCATCCCGCCAGCAGCGCGGGAAGGGATGGATCAAACAACGGTCGCAGGTATCGGAGAGGCATGTCCAGCGTAGAGATTGGCGCAACTCCTGCTCAAGAGCAGGTGATTCTTGAAAGGCCCACAGGGTGGGCCTCTGGCGCAGCATCGCGGTTGAGCACCTCGTCTTAGCATTCCGCTTGTCTGATTCGTGATGGCGCATCGATCGGCAGTTCGAAGAGACAATGAACGTGGAGGAACCTGGAATGTGGCTTCCCCGCGACGAATCACGGAACACCTTTCTCGCCGATATGAGGCGTGCGTTGGAAACGCCACGGGGCGAAGGTAGGGATGAAGTCGCCGACCCACGTCCGCGTCGACAGACTCGGCGACCAGGTCAAAGACATTGGCTTCGATGTTCTTTTCCAGACCGATGGCCGCATCGCTGGAGGGCTTGCCAACGGCCGCGTGGTCCCAGAAGGGCGCAGGGATGCCGAAAAGCTGGCGGCCGACGTCTGTGTTCGCTACTGGGAAGCTCCACCAAGAATCGTGCCCTTCATAACGGCACATGCCCCAACTGCCATGCGGGCACCCGAAGTTGATCTGGCCGCGTGTGTTGTTTGGAAGAATTTGCTTCCGAACCTGCCGCGGGCCGCGGCCATGCGCGATGTAGATGGGCGTGTCCGCGCCGGCCGCCGCAGCGGCCACCGCGAAGCACCGCCACTGCCCGCCAGGCCGGGGGTTTTGAGCCAAGAGGGAGCCTCACGACGCCTTTTGGCAGCTGCTGCCTCGTGGCCCTGGAACTGGATGGCGAAGCGGCGGCCAAGGCTGCCCCCGAGGAGCCTGTAGTCGTTTGCGGAGAAGCAGCGCTCGGAGAAACACGTGGCCAGCGCGAGTGTGATGTGCGCGGCGTCCCGAAGAACTGTCACATTATGCAGAGAGGGTTCGAGTAGGGACCGCGGTCATACTTGGCGGCATCTTCGGCGTTAGCCGAGCCCGCCATGCGTTCGGCGGCGGCGAGCTCCATCTGCATACACAACCTTCCCGAGCTCTCAGGTCGTCTGTTCCTGCTTTTCTTCTGGTGGCCCACAAGTCGGCAAAGTCGCTTTCGATCCAGGTGGATCTGCGCTAAAAATTGGCGGCCTGCTCGGTAAGGCCCCGCGTACCGATCTCGACATGGGCCGCCACGGGCTCGGTCAAAGCTCGAACTAAACACTGTGTTCCGTTTCCGTGTTGTTTTCGTTTTCCCGCGTTCTGTCCTCGTTCCGCCTCTGCTGCAGAATAATATCAAAACGAAAACGGTGCACGATACCGCCAAGACACCGTTCAGCTCGAGCCCTGAGCTCGGTCTTCTGCTCGTCGAGGGCTGCACCCATCCGACTGGAGGCCACCGCAGCCATTTTCGAGCGGATCTTGACCTACGACGACCGTCGTTCGGCGTGGCGCCGGCCCCCCTCGTCCGAGCTGGTCGCTTCGGCACCACCGCGGAAGTATATCCGGTAAGGCGCTTCGCTGGAACAACGCATGAATGCACACGCCACGTTCATGCGGATCTGCAACTTTCAGGGTGCCAGCGCGGGCAGGCTGTCCACGGCAGGGCGAGGTAGAACGAAGGCGAAACGCGCTGCACTGCGCACGGGATCCTACAGACACGTCGGGAAAAGCAACGGGGCACGGCAGCCCGCGTGAAGCGGCTCTGAAAAGACAGGCGGGCCCCGACAATGCGGGCCGGAAAACCGCACTCAAAAAACATCCACCAATGAGGCGCGAAACCTGCCCCGGCGGATGTGTTTATATATGTTGGCCAAATGTCGCAGGGAAACCACACCAGAAAATAGACACCAAGCAAAAACGCACTGGAAAATATCTGCCAATCCCCCAACACACGCCAGAATCGACAGAGGCCTTCGCCTGGAGGAGGGGGGGGCAGGACCGCGGGCACCAATGCTGATACCAGTGGGGAAACAACTTGCGAGAATCGAAGAAGAGGGGGGGGGGCGACGACAGCGTCGCAGAAACACACTCTGCACCAGCGTCGCGACAGTGGAACACCATGCCACACCGCACACCTGGTCTGCAACTCGGCGCCCCCTGTAAGTCCCACCAGCCCTTTGGGCGTGAGTGGTTTAGAGAGCCCGCTCTGTTCTCAACCCCCCTTCTTCCCCTTCGGGGAGGGGTTTACCCCTCCCCCTACCCCCTCCCCCTGGGCCTGGAGAGGTCCCTCCGCGGGTCGTCAGAGGGGTCATTTTCGACTCCTGGGAGGGCTAAAAAACGACACCCCTCACGAGGATTCTGGCCCCGACGGGGGGAGTCAGAAAAAATGCTCCCCTTTGAAGCCAGAATCATTGATTTTACTACGGTTTTGGCCCCATTTTGGCCTTCTGAGGGGGCGGCGCTAATTAAAGCTCCCCTCTTCTTTCAAGCCAAAATCATTGATTTTACGAAGGTTTTGGCCCCATTTTGCCCTTCTGAGGGGGCAGCGCTAATTAAAGCTTCCCTCTTCTTTGATCGATTTCCTCCAAGATGGCCCCAAGAAGCGCCCAGGAGGCACCAAGAGGCCCCAAGATGGCCCCAAGAGGCCCCCAGGAGGCCCCCAAGAGGCCTCCAAGAGGCCCCCAAGATGCCCCCAAGAGGCCCCCAAGAGGCCCCAAGAGGCTCCCCCGAGGCACCCAAGACGCTCCTGGAAGCCCCTGGGGCCGCCAAGAGGCCCCCAAGACGCCCCAAACGGCCTCCAAGAGGCTCCCAAGAGGCCCGAAGAGGCTCCCCCAAGGCACCCAAGACGCTCCTAGAAGCCCCTGGGGCCGCCAAGAGGCCCCCAAGACGCCCCAAAAGGGGACGAGGTGCCCGAACGCCTCACGCCACGAGGAGCCCGAACGACTCACACCAGGACGAGGGGCCCGAACGACTCACACCACGAAGAGCCCGAACGACTCACACCAGAAGGAGGGCCCGAACGACTCACACCAGGACGAGGCGCCCGAACGACTCACACCACGAGGAGCCCGAACGACTCACACCACGACGCCCCCGAACGACTCACACCACGAGGAGCCCGAACGAGTCACACCAGGAGGAGGGGCCCGAACGACTCACACCAGGACGAGGGGCCCGAACAACTCACACCACGAGAAGCCCGAACGACTCACACCAGGACGAAGAGCCCGAACGACTCACACCACGAAGAGCCCGAACGACTCACACCAGGAAGAAGGGCCCGAACGACTCACACCAGGACGAGAAACCCCAAACGACTCAAACCACGAGGAGCGCTTTCTCTCCCTCCTCCTCCGCCTCGTCCTTCTCCCGCTCCCCCCACAAGGAGGATGTACAAGGAGGCGGGAGGAAGGAGGAACAGGGGAGATATGCGGGGGCAAGCGGACACACGCCTGAAAAACACGACTATCGGCATGCTTCGCAAGAGTTGCTGTTGTGAGATGGGCTGGTGGGGATACGCGAAGCGTAAAGAATTCCCCAAAAGCAAAATGGTCAGCCGAATGCATCACCCGATAGATTGCGTGCTCCGGGGCGAGCTGCCGGGCGGCCTAGCGCTGCCAGCTGCGGCGCGATGGTGGCGCCAGGGTCGCCCACGTGATCCCAGAGATCCGATGTCGTGATCTTTTCGATGCGCGGTCCCCGGAAGTCTTGACCCGTTTCCAAGGACCGGTTTGTCATCCTGAATCGTTGTTTGACGGTCCTGGGGCCCGGCGAGGGACCCCAGAGGCCGAACATTGCGAAAACCTCCGTCCTGATTTTTTCAATACGCTGGATCTCTGAGACGGGGATCGGAGGATTTGCTCTCGGCACCAAGGCGGGTCGACTTCGCGGGCGGCATCGCGCCAAGCTCAGCGGCCCCGCCGCCAGTGGGAGGGCACCAGACGCAGGGGGCGGCGTCGCAGTCAGATCGAGGGTGCAAGAGGAGCGCCGTGCTCCACCAGGAGCTCACCTGACTTGCAGGGCCTGGCCAGGGACTAGGGGTGTCCACCCTTCTCTCCCTGGGAAACTTTGCAGGTTGAGCCAACATGGCTTAACTCACACGGACAACATGCTGGACGTGAAAAGAAGAGGCGAGGAGGAGAATGAAGGACGAAAGATGGAAGACGCAGTGATCGGCGGCGAGCGACGGGGGGGAACTGAGAAGAACGGAGGAGGTGGGAGATTACGAGGTAGAACGGAGGAGGAGGTGGGATGACGAGAAGGCGTGCGACGAGAGGGGGGGTCCAGAGATCCAACGCTCCGACACGAATTGGGGTGGCGGGTGGCTGGTCGTTCTCGGCCTCGGGGGGGGGGCCCTCCCCGGGGGGCCTCGGGACCGTCGAACAACGCCTCGGGACGAAACGCCGGCCCCGTGGGAGTGGCCCGGGACCTCCGGGAGCCCACGCCTCGCAGAGGCTGGAGCGGCCGCGAGCCTGGGAGGCTGGAGCGCCGCGAGCCGAAAGCTGCAAGCAGCTACCGTCGGACCTCGGACAACAAAAACCTCCGAAAAGAACACGAGGCCCTCCTCGGGCCCAAGCACACAGAACCTTCGTGGGCCCTGGAAACGACAATGCCGATTTTTTACAGGTTCCGTTTTGCCGTTTTTTTGCCGGTTCCGACGCCGTTTTTTTACCGGTTCCGTCGCCGTTGTTTGACCGGTTCCGGCTCTGGTTCCAATCCTGGAGCCGTTTTTGTTGCCGTTTCCGGTCGCCGTTTTTCTGCCGTTTCGATTTTCAAGGGAAATTGTTCCGAAACGGTGAAAAAACGGCCCTGCCGTTTCCGGGGCCTAAGCACACAGAACATCCGCGGGTACCCTCCGCGGGATGCACAAAAGCATCCAGCAGGCACGAAGAACATCAGGGCACCCTCCCCGAACCGCCCTCGATCTGATGCCTCGGTCCGCCCGCACACGGGGAGGACGGGGAGGCCGGAGAGCAGGGGGACGGAGAGGACGGGGAAGACGGGGAGGCGGGAGAGAAGGGGGAGGAGGGGCATGAGGGTGATGCTGACAATGCGGATGCTGGTGAGGAGGGCATTGGGACGCGGGTGGGGATATGAGAGAGCACCTCCTGAGACCAACCACTTTTTGTGTGACACCGGGAAGTCCCTGTGTTCAGGCCCGTGAGGCGAGAAAGACAAGACACACGCTGTGAGTGTGTGAGAAATGAGAAAGAGAGAGAGAGAGAGAGAGAGAGAGAGAGAGAGAGCGAGAGAGAGAGACCGAGAGAGAGAGAGAGAGACACAGAGAGGGAGAGAGAGAGAGAGAGAACCAGTAGAGGCCGTGAGAGAGGGAGAGAGAAGAGAGAGAGAGAGAGAGAGATGAGAGACATAGAGGGATTTAGAGAGAACAGATGTGGGATATCTATATATATATACATATACACGTACAGGGCGAGACGTTGATATATGTATAGATATATCTAGAGAAAAAGAAAGAGAGACAGAGAGAGAGAGTGTGTGAAACAAAACGATGAGTGCGGATAGAGAGAGGGAGAAAGAGAGAGAGAGAGAGACAGGGAGAAAGAGAGAGAGAGAGAGAACGAGAGGAAGACATATACAATCCTTGCAACCGAGAGAGAGAGAGAGAGATAACAAGAAAGAAGAGAGAGAGAGAGGGAGAGATGCAGAGAGAGCGCGAGAGAGGCACCACGATGGATCATGAGTGGAAGGTGCAGAGTGTGGGAGGGAAGGTCGAGAGTGTGGATGGAGGAGGAGGAGGAGCACGGAAAAAAAGATCGATGAGGGAGGAGGGAGGACGGATAAGGAAGGATCGATGAGGATTAGCAGTAGCAGGGTGAGCAGGAAGAGGAGTGATGACGGGGGATCGTCTGCGGATTCGCATGCAGGATAACGAAGAAGCCCGAAAGATGATGCAGAATGCTGGATGAAGGAGGGGCAACAGGGGCGGACTTGCGGAGGCAGGGCGACGGATACGAAGAGCATGGAGAAGACGAGAAGGGAACAGGGAAGAGGAGAGGATAAGGAGAGGAAGAGGGGGAAAGACATACAAGAGGGAGAGAAGGGCCGGGGTCGGCTGCACGTAAGAGTGACCCTGGGTAAGAGTGACCTTTGGTGCGCGGCTTTTTGGGGGGCGCGAGGAGGCCAAACACAAGCGCGCAAGACGCTAATATCGCAACGAGCGCGGCGATCGGGGGACCCCGTTTGGCCCGCACCAAAGGTCACTCCGGCGAAAGGTCACTCTTACGTCTAGTCGACGGGGAGGCCAAGGAACAGGCAGGCAGACTCCCTGGGCCAAATCAGATGGGCGGGAACCGACCTCTAGAGCAGCACTCTTGTTGCCATCTGCGTAAGGTGTGTGCGCCAAGGGCATCGGAACTCGCGGGCGGAAAACACATCCAGATCCACGGCCTCGCGGGCCGGGCCCCCGGGCGGCGAGCCTATGGATGCGTGGCTTCTGTTCGCGGATACCCCGCGCGGAACGTATCCACGTGACCGCGCATCCACGGGATCGCGCCCGGGAGTCCATACCGCGCGGGCATGTACACAGATATGTTCGGCCGGGGGCGCCAGCACAACTCCTGGAAGTGTGGGAATATGCGCCAAGAGACGCCAGTACAGCAGCTGGCGGTGAAACTGAGGCGCCGACTTCAAAAGGATGCCGGCGGACGAGAACGCGTCAAACTGAGCTACACCGCTCGTCGGGGCAAAGGAAAATACGGCACCTCTCACGTCCTCCTCCTCCTCCTCCTCCTCCTCCTCCTCCTTGCCTCCTCCTCCTCCTCCTGCAAGCTGCGCTTGTGGATTATCCAACTCACCTGGCGCAACCCTGCCCTGACAATCTTAATTTGTGACCTGACGGCAACACACACGCATACCAGGGGGCTGCTGAGCCGAGCTTGGCTGCGATGACCTCTCCGTGAGGGGAAGGCAAACCTCCTCGATGCCTGTGACGATGGCGATGATGTCATCGTCATCGTCATCGTCTTTGTCGTCATCATGCCCCTTCTCCCGTCCCTTCCCCCCCATGGAGGGGGGGGGGGAGTCCGAGCGTGAATGACCTGCCCCGCTTTCGCTTCCAGGCAGAACCAAGTCATACCACGCGCCTCCTCGTCAAGCGGCCTGATTAGTACAGGCCGTAGTTTGACATCGCTTGGTATCTCTTGGAAGCGAGGGTGGTCAAAAGCGAGGTAGGTTTGCTTGCCCCCTAGGGAGGGGGAGGGGGGGCGGGGCGCGAGGCGCGCGCGAAGGCGCCCGCGCGTCCGAGAACGGCGCCGACGGCTCGCTGCGACTCGCGCCCCTCCGCCGGACAGGGCCGCGGAGGAGAAGGAGGGGGGGGGGGATGGGGAGGGGGAGGGGGAGAGCGAGGGGGAGGGAGAGGAGAGGAGTGGAGGAGGATCGGATCGGAAGGTTCATCGTCAGCCTGTAGGAAGCGCGCGAAGGAGCGGCAAGACCTCCAGAGTGCAACCAGCATAGAAAAAGAAAGCGTGGCGGCCAATGCCGTCCACCACAGCTGCACAGGCAGGTTCACGCATCGAGATGCTGGCACCGACTCCGACTGAGGTTACCAGAAAAGTGACAAAGGAGGAAGGCAGCACTGAACAGAGATAGGAGACGCCTCGGAAACTAGGACCTCAACGAACAAACTACGAGAAGCTGCAACGAGGCAGAAACTGATTCCCAGAGGTATTGCAAGACAGCTCCAAGAGAGACACGATACCGTGGCGGGGGGCCACCGAATCAAATGCCAACCGCCAGAGACGGGGAAAACGAGAGACTGGAACACTACCCAAGGGGCGCGCTGGCGGGGCAGATCCCGGCGTAGCTCACGAACTGCTGAATAGTAGGCGTAGGCGAACAGCAACACCATGAAGACACCCACCACCACGCTTCAGTCCGTAAATGTCTGAGCTTGAAAGCCGCCGCCTGCGCCAGGGATGCGCTCCCGTAGCGGAAGGGGTGGCCTCGCGAGTGCTCCGCAACCCCGAGACGATGCCTGGCACCTCGCTGCACTCCGCCGTGTAGCTCAGCTGGGACGCAGCCGCCTTCGTTAGGGACGCGCTGCAGTAGAGGAAGGGCCTGTCCTCTTAGGCGAACGGCAGCTCCGTGGGGATGCCAAGCACCTCGTAGCAATCCGCCGCGTGGCTGAGCTTGGGAGCCGCTGCCAGCGCCAGCGCCGCACTGCTGTAGCGGCAGTGGTAGTCATCGAAAGCGGTTGGCAGCCCCGTGAAGATGCCGGGCACGGTGGAGCAATCCAGCGAGGTGGCTTCATGTGCATGGGCACGTGCCCGAATGTACCCAGCTGCGCGGCCGCGCATGCTTGTGGGCGCCACGCCCCGGGGCGCGGCGCGCATGGGCTCAAGCCGAGGAGTCACAGTGGGCCGCAAGGGGGCACGACGGCTGTGACTACGGCTCGGGCCCGAGAGGAGGAGGAGGATGATGAGGAGGAGGACGAGGAGGAGGAGGAGGAGGAGGAGGAGGAGGCACAGCGTCATCGAAGAAGAATTCTCCTGCATCACACCCGGCTAGCTACTGCAGCGGGGCGGCCTGCAGCGGGGCAGCCAAGGCATCCTGAGAGGAGGAGGAGGAGGAGGAGGAGGAGGAGGAGGAGGAGGAGGAGGAGGAAGAGCAAGAGGAGGAGGCGAAGGAGGAGGAGGAGGAGGAGGAGGAGGAGGAGCGGGAGGAGGGGGAGGATGAAGAGGAGGAGATGGGGAGGAGAGGAGGGGGAGGGCGAGGGGAAGGAGGACGAGGGGGGAGGGGGGCGGGGGGAAACCGTCGTCGTCATCGTCGTCTCCCCCTCCGCCGCCGAAGTATGACAGATAGGCGCCCGAGGCTGCCACGGATGTTCTCCGAGGTCGGCAGCGCGGGGGGCCCGCGGGGCTCACTCCGCCCTCATCATCTTGCAGAACTCCTCGAAGGCAATGCTGCCATCCTTGTCGGTGTCCACCTGTGACATGCTCCTCCTCCTCCTCCGCCATCCCTCCTCCTCCTCCTCCTCCACCTCCTCCTCCTCTCCGCCATCCCGCCTCCTCCTCATCCTCCGCCTCCTCCGCTATCCCTCCTCCTTCTCCGCCTCGTCCTTCACCTAGTATTAGCATTGTCAATTCTATGTTTCTTCTTCTTATTCTTCTGCTTTCTCCCCGCTCTCTTGCTCCCCACCTGTGCTATGATCTCCTCGGCGGTCTGGCCCCCCACCATCTGGTTGACGTCTGGCTCCTTCAGGACCTGCCTCAGCTCGTCGATAGAGATGTTGCCGTCGCCATCCTTTCGGGGGGCGTCCAAGAGGGGGGCGTCCAGGAGGGGGGCCCAAGGTTGATTGCCACCAGTGGCCCAGAATCGGCCAACATGGACTATCTGGCGATCGAAAAGCTGCCGATCGTTCAAGGTTGAGCGGTCCACACGGTGTGAGAAACCAACGCTGGGGTCGTCACGACACGATCCTGACGTACCTGTCCCGACTTTCGGGGGGCGTCCAAGAGGGGGGGGCGCGCAAGTCATTGCCAGCGGCACGTGCGCGGCCCACGGGGGGGGGGCCGGGACGCAGTAGAATGAGAAGAGGCGCCATGGAACCTGGGGGGCTCTCATGGCCCCCGCCATGATATCCTCCCCCCCCCTAGTCATCTCCCCCCTCTTCGCCGTCCCCGCTCCTTGTCAAACACGGCGAAGGCCCTCCAAATCATGTCCTGTGGGGAAGCCAGAAAGTCCGGCACCGCTACTCCCCGGGCCTCTCCTGGGGTGCGTGCTGACCAGGACTTCGAGGCGAAGCCAGCAGTGGCGACGAGGGCCCCCCGGCAGACCCGGGAAGGCGAACACGATCCAGTGGTAGCGGTATGGGTACCTGTTCCTCCTCTGGTCCTCTTGCATGTACTGCTTCTTGTCGAGGGTGGCGGCCAGGAACTCGGTGTAGTCGATCACACCGCTGCCGTCTGCGTCAACGTTCTTCATGATGTCCTGGAGGTCCGCGGGGATGTCCGCCAGCCCCGCCTTTTGAGCAGGGGAGCGACTATAGAATTGATTTGCTCCAGAATTTGTCTGTTTCCTGTCGACTCCACGAAACTTGCATATAATGTTCGTAGCTGCACGAATCAGTACACGAATCATGCTATGTTTTTTTTTGTAGACTCGACAAGAACAGTTTGGAGCAAACCAATTCTTTAGTCGGTCTCCTAATCGAGCCTTCTCCAGCCCCAGCTTCATCTCCGCAGACGTCAGCAGGCCATCCCCGTTCTGGTCGAGCGCCTGGAAGGTCTCGCGCAAGTTCTTGATCTGCGAGTCGGAGAGTTCGCCGGCAATGATGTGGAGGGCGGCCTTCTTCAGCTTGTTCTGCGAGCGGAAGCCGCGAAGATTATCCACAAAGTTGTTCGAGATCGGAACGTTCTTGGCCTTGGGAGCCTTGTCCTTGATCCAAACGTGGTTCAAGCACTGCTCGGCGGTGAACCGGTCCTTGGGGTTCATCTTGAGGAGTGAGCGAATTAGGCCCTTGGCGTCGTCAGATATGTTTTTCCAATCGGTTGCGTTGAAAGTGAAATTCCCGAGGCGTACCTTGGACAACACCTCCGCATCTGTGTCGCCGAAGAAGGGCGGGTAGCCGCAAAGCATCACGAACATGATGACGCCACAGCTCCACAGATCGCTCATGTGGTCGTATTTGCCAGTGAGCACCTGACCCGCCTGCCTCTGTCCTCTCCTTCTTCCTGCTCCTCCGACCATCTTCTTTCAAACTGCCGCATCACCTTCGTCGCACCACCAGACGTACCGGAAAAGGCGATCCAAGCGTCTCGCCTGAAGTTCCCTCACAACGTAAGATCCAGACATGACGACGCTTCCAGCAACCACGCGGATGGAGGACGGCTGGCTTTCAAACTGTGGTGTTCGCCTTCGCGCAGAACTGTTTCCCAAACAGGGTGTGCGTTTTTCTGGGCTGATGCTTGGCCCAAATACAGCATTGCGCGGGCGCGTGCCAAGTCTCTGCCCGCCCGTGGGCGCCTCGTTCGGGTCGGGCGAAAGGGGGGGATAGCAAATGGAGGGGTTGAGTATCAGCTCACGTGGCTGATTTTCCCGGCGCCTCCCGGCGCCGGAGGTGGCTATGTATCGAGGCATGGGCCCCTCGGTGAGGCCGAAACCAGCTGCATGCAGCACATTTCGTGACCCCCCCGTTCCCGATCCCCCCCTTTTTCGTTCGGCCCGACTCGTGGGCGCCTCGTGTGCGGAGTGGATGTGCCGAGATTTCGCCTCCCTCCTCCCTCGTCGTTGTCGTCGTCGGCGTCGCCGTCCTTCCTCCTTCTTCGTCGTTCGCGTCGTCGCCGTCCTCCCTCCTCCCTCGTCGTTGTCGTCGTTATCGTCGTTGTCGCCGTCGTCGTCCTCCCTCCTCCCTCGTCGTCGTCTTCGTTGGCGCCCCCGAGGCGCTGCATGGGTGCGCCGAGGCTCTTCTCCCGGGTGCCCGCCGGTGGCCGCCCCGAGGGCGCCTCGTGGGCGTCTCGTAGGCTGGGTGGGCGTGCCGAGGTGTCGCCTGCTGCCCGCCCGCGGGCGCGTCGTGGGCGTCTGGTGCGCTGGGCGGCCGCGCATGCGGCATCACGCGGCTTGTACCACAGCAGCATGCACACCACAGTGTACGCCGCATGCAGTCGGGCCGCCGAGAGAAGGGACGCTACATGAGGAACGAAGCCCCTTCGTGGCCCTGTGAGCGCCTCCGTGCCCCAGGAGGGCAGGAGGAACAGCACTGGAGGAACCTGAGGAACACCGAGCCCCTTCCGAACCAACATTGTTCCTTATTTCAGCGTCTTGACTGTAGCAAGAGGAACAGCACTGGAGGAACCTGAGGAACATCGAGCCCCTTCCGAACCAACACTGTTCCTTCTTTCGGCGTCTTGACTGTAGTTCGCACCACACAGGTTATACCGCACGGCGTACGCCACAGAGCTTGCGCCACGCAGCTTGCGCCGCACAGCTCACGCCGCACAGCTTGCGCCGCATAGCGCAAATCCTATAGCGTACACCACATAGCTTACACCACGTACTATCCTACACAGCTTGCAGCGCATAGCTTGCACCACATGGGTTCCACCACCTAGCTTAAACACCACATCGCTTGTACCGCATGGCTTCCGCATCCACAGCGCAATCACTTACATGGTGCGGAGCATGTTCAAGGGCCATGCTGGTGGAAGCCTGTGCCTATTCACAGTGTAGTCTTCGCAGGACACTACCACATATCTTAGCAATTGGACAGACGGAGGGCGGCTTCGACGTGCATTCCAAAAGGCACACGGCTCACACCGTTCAGATCCCCACGGGCCCCTCACGACTCCAGCGGGTGCCCGCCGTCGTGGAAAGAATACTCGCGTAGACTCGTGAGGGCTGGATTTGAGGCGCGAGGGTCGCCTCATCCTCCCCTTCCTCGTCGTCATCCTCTTTGCATCCTCCTCCTCCTCCTCCTCCTCCACCTCCTCTCCCTTCTCCTGCTTACAGGGGCTTGACGCAGTCTGCACCTGAGGCGCGACGTAGTATGGAGTGCCAGCCTTAGTGGTCAGCACTTGGCCATGCTTGAACTCGCAGGAGAGGCCGAAGTCAATGATCTTGAGGAGGTTCCTGGATATCGACTCCCTGGCAGGCAAGCCAATGCGAACCATGTGTAAGAAATGCTACGGGGCGAACACATGCTGACTCAATGTCTGGGCCCCGCCCTGGCAAACAACACACATATAAACACGTCTGTACCGCGTGTGTCCTTCATTCCGTGTACGCGGATCGGCTTTCAGCCAAAAGCGCATGCGGGGAATTCAGAATTCAGAAACCTCTGCAGCAAAGAGAGTACCTGGGGGATGGGGTGTGGCGGCGGGGGGGGGAAAGGGGATTCGGGTCGGGTATCTCACGCCGGTGTGTCGTGTGGGCCCGAAGGGGCATGCGATGAGAACTAGGCACCATCAGTGTTGTAAACAAGCGAGAGAAAGACGAAGAGGAACAAGGGTGCGGATGTGCATGCCAAACAAGCAGGCGCTCAGGTCAGGGTAGGGCTCGATTGCAGCTGCACGGGAAGGAAGACAAGGAGGATAAGGGGGAGGAAGAGAACGGGGACCAGGAACAAGGAGGGCGTCGAGGAGAGGGAGGAGAAATCAGTGTGATCCTCTATACCTGGCCGAAGATTGTCCCCCTGCGCACGTGCACACGCTTTTCTGTTGTCTACCACTTGGGCACTGCCTGCTTCCCGTGTGGCCGCCGATCCCTGTTCAGCCCAGCCTGTCCCTCACCGCCTACTTCCACACAACCAGGCTGAGACTCGACGAGCCCAGCACTCCGTCATAGCGCACAATGGCAATGATGATGATGCTGATGATGATGAGGAAGAGGAGGAGGAGGAGGAGACGAAGAGAACGATGGCGAGGGCGACGAGGTGTAGCTGCCAGACCTGGACGTGAAGCGGAAGCGTTCTGACTTGGGGGCCTTGTCATAAAGAGGAAGTTCTCTGGCTTCAAGTCGCGGTGGCAGATGTGGTTCTCGTGCATGTAGTCCGCGGGTCCCCGCACGCAGGGGGGGGCCGATAAGGCACGTGGGAGCGCCTGTCCAGTCCAGTGAGAACGATGGCGGAGAGGGAGATGGAGCAGGAAAACGATGCATACTGCCCTGCGTTATATTGTTTTTGGACTGGCATATCGCGAGGAGAGAGAGGAGATGGAGGAGGAGGAGGAGGAGGAGGAGGAGGAGGAATGGGGCAGGATGAGGAGGAGCGGGAGGAGGGACTCCCTCCTCCCAGGAGGGACTCCCTCGTCCCTGCTCGTCCCCCTCCCTGGGAGGGGGACGAGCAGGGAGGCAAATCGTTCTGCGAACAAAACGCATCCCTGTTCTGTCTCCAATGGGGGCTACTCTTGCTGCTGCTCCTCCTCCCACCGAAGCTCCATCGACGGTCCACCACGTGCCGCTCAGATGTGCTTAACGTGGAAGCTAAATGCCGAAAGTTCGTGTCGTGCCGACGCCAACGCTGGCTCTTGACATCGCGGAGATCGTTCAACATTGAAAGATCGGCCGTTTCAGAAATGTCCTGACGGGACGCACTGACTGACCCGGGTCAGCGCACACCCGGATCGGTCGGGCTTTTTAGGATCCTGCAAGATCTTGAAGGATCCTGCGCGCCAGCCTAGGTACATGCGCCGCTGGCGTTGCAGGATCCTGCCCCCGTTCCCAGACATCGGGCTGCTCTAAATTCTTCGATGCATGGGCCCCGGAGGTCTGGACCACTTCCCTGGGACCAGTTTTTCGTACTGAATCGTTTTTTTTACGGTCCCGAGGCCAGGCGAGGGCCCCTGGAGGCCGAAAACGGCCAAGAATCCGCCGCTCCAATTTTTGTTGAAGTGTCGGATCTCTGGGTTTGCACTTAGACCCCCAGCTCAAGGCTTCCGAGTGGAACGCCGGCGGCGGGGCTGCCGGTAGTCGCCAGGAGGCCCAGGCAACCTGCAACAGCCCTCGTTCCAGAGGCCCTCCGGAGAACCCAAGCGCGCAATCACACCTGGGACGCGGAAAAAGCCAGCGCCCCAGAGATCCGACGCTCCCAAAAAATTGGAGCGGCGGGCTTTTGGCCGTTTTCGGCTTCAAGGGGGCCCCCTACCGGGCCTCCGAACCGTCAAAAAACGTCGCACTGCCAAAAACCGGCCCTGGGGAAGTGGTCCAGATCTGCAGGGCCCACGCATCGAAAAAAATCAAAGCGGTCGGACGTCTGGGAAGCCAGCGCGGCACTTGGAACCCCAGGACGGACCAGAGGCATCGACGATGCTCAAGGCTAACATGGGTTCAGGCCCGAACAGCAGCTTTGAAATATATGGCTACAGAAGACAAGGGTATAGACGAGGTGGAGGGAAGGAGAAGAAGGATGAGATGGAAAAAGAAGAGAGAGAATGGAGGATTCAGGATGGATGGGGAGGAGGCGGAGGAGGAGGAGGAGGCCTCTAGTAGTCAGATGCCCCTAAGGGCTGTCGGCAAACCCCAGGTAGCGCCTCAGGGCCGCCCTATGGTACTCCCAAAACGGCCAAACAACGAGACTGCGCATCACACCGTTACAGAATGGCTTCGCGGTGGTCAAACTTGCCTGCCATACGGGTCGCATGCAACAAACCTTCCGTGCCCCTCCTGGTGTTGGCCTACCTCCCCTCGGTCGTTGTTAAGGCGTCCAGAGACACCATCGCGAAGTTAACATTTCGGGGGTAGGCGGAATAACGCAAGGCTCTTGGATAGATAGCGCGGATGATCTGCTGCATCAGATTCGCGGCCTGGGGGTGGAAGGTGGAATGGGAAACTGCATCATATACGTCAGCCTCCTCACTCCTCCGCTCTGCATCCACTCTCTCCCCCTATCCACCCTCTACTCCATCGCCTCTTCCCAATCTCTCCCCCCCCATCCGCCCTCTCCTCCTGCACCTCTTCCACATCCTCGGCATCCACACTCCTCCTCCTCCTCCTCCTCCTCCTCCTCCTCCACATCCTCCTCCTCCTCCATCTCCTCCATCTCCTGCTAGCCTTCCTCATCCCCCACTCCCCCCCATCCTCCTCCTGCCTTGCCCTCATCCCTCCCCTCCTCATCCTGGCACTCCTCATTGGCTTCCTCCTCCTGCCTGGACGCCTTCTTCGTGTTTCTTCTGTTCATGCTCATCCTCCACCTCCTGCCCACCCTCACCAATATTCTCCCCATGCCTCCCCACCCCGTCCTACTCCCCCCAATCATGAAGAGGAATATCAAGACAATCGAAAAATACAGCACTGCGTCCTCCCCCGATCATCCTGCTCCTGACTGCCCCCTCGAATGCTCATCAATTCCTCCCCCATCCTCGTTCGGTCGCCGTCTCTCTCTCTCTCTTTCTCGCTCTCTCTCTCTCTCTCTTTCTCTCGCGTTCTCTCTCTCTCTCTCTCTCTCTCCTTCTCTGCTCTCTCTCTCTCTCTCTCTCTCTCTCCCTCTCTGTCTCTCTGTCCCTCACCCTCCCTCCCTCCATTCATACACATACAACTGGCTCATGGTTCTCTCTTTGTCTCTGCCTCTCTCTCTCTCTCTTGCGTTCTCTCGCTCCCTCTCTCTCTCTCTCTCCCTCTCGGTATCACTATCCTTCGCTCTCTCTCTCTCTCTCTCTCCCTCTCTCTCTCTCTCTTTCTCCCGCTACTCCACCTCATTATCCTACACCTCCTTCTCCGCCCCCCTCCCCCTTCTCCTCCCCCTGTTCCCCCTCAACCACTCCACCTGCACCTCATCGTTCGCATATCCGCACTTCTCTCCCATTGTTCGCTCCTCTCCTGTCGACTCGTCTCATCCCCCTCCCTCTGCTGCCTGGCCCTCGTTGAAGCTTCCGACTTCAATGATGCGATCGAACAGTTCTCCGCCCTTGCACAGCTCCATGACGAGGTATATGTTGCGGTGGTCCTCGGAGCTGACGGGGGGAAGGGGAAGGAGAGTCGGTCGATGGGGGTAGATAACGGTTTGCGAGGAGGAGGAGGAGGAGGAGAAGGACGGAATGGGAAGGCGAATATATGATTGGCCCAAGAGGATGGGGATAGGGCGGGTGAAGAAACATACGGTGATGATTATGATGCTGATAAAGATAATGGTGATGACGATGGTGCTAATGATGACGATGATGATGATGATGATGATGATGATGATGATGATGGTGGTGATGATGATGATGATGATGATGATGATGATGATGATGATGATGATGATGATGATGATGATGATGGCGGTGGTGATACAGATGACGATGATGAGGATGAAGAGACGTGTTCGTTATTCACGGTCAGCTCCAGAAGCAAGCCGCAATCACTCAGGCCGTGTCCGGTAACTATGGTGTGAACAACGACGCATCTGGGTGAGAAAATGGAGGAAGAGATAAGCAAGAGCAGGAGGACGAACAAGGATGATGAAAAAACACACTTGGGGCAGATTGGGCTGTCTTGGAGGCCCTGAGGGTCAGCCAAAGCAGCCTGCCTCGTCCTCGGCAGGGTCGAGCGGCCCGACGCCGTGGCCTGGGAGTCGAGGGAGAACCGTGCCTGCGTGGAGGAGCTGTGAGCGACCGCTCAGGGGCAGGACCAGGCCACATAGAACGTTTGGCTGACGGGGGTGGGTTCGGGGGCGGTCATCACGACTGGCGAATATAGCCATATCGGTGCCCTCGCGGTCTGGACTCCTGGGCGCGATCCCGCGGATACGCGGTCGCACGGATACGTTCCGCGGGGGGCATCAACGAAGCAGCGCCCCGTATCCGCGGGTCGCGGCCCAGGGGCCCGCCTCGCGAGGCACTGGTTACGGATATGTTTTTCGCCCACGAGGTTCTGGAGGACCTGACCGAAACTGTCGAACAAATGAACTGCCTGTCTCATGCTGGTCCAGTCGCCATCAGACATGGACTTCCCTGGCCTCGTCCCCAGCCCCAGCTCTCCATGTGGGCGACGACCAAGAACGAGTCTCCACGCGGGATGGCATAAGGGCCTTACGCGGAGGCTTACGCGGGCCGCCAGCGCGGCACGCTACGCTGGAAGCGAGGGCGCTTACGCGAGACCGTACGCGAGCAGCTTACGCGCCAACGACGGCAAAGACGACCACATTGTCTTACGGCTCTGCATGTCACAGACCCCGACTGGATGGATCGGACCGCCTCTGGCGTCGCTGTGGCTGGCCCAGGTCAAGTGGGACAAAACACACACACACACAGACACAATGAATCGTCGATGCCCCAGAAAAAAAAGAAAACATGGGAAGTGGGGGGGGAAGACCACAACCCAGAAAATATGGGAAACTATGGGGAATCCTGTTAGTTGTCTATTTATTTGTGTGTCCCAGGGCCCCTTCACCATGGGATGCTTGCGGGCTGCGCCTTCGAGACCAGTAGGGTGACGCGTCCTGCCTACTCACACGGCTACGCCATGAGGAAGCATCCCCTGACCGAGCGTCATGGTGCGAACGGAATAAAAAGCCCGCAGTCTCTCCTGCGCAGGCGAAATTGCGGAGTTTGGTCGTCGTCTCGGCGCCGCAGCCTTCTACCGACTGGCGCAACAAATTGAGATGTTCCACCTGCTGGCGTAGCCTGCAAACTACGAGTGCAACGAAACAATATCATCGTGTCCAACGACAATGAGATAGCAAACTCAAGTACCTAATGATCTTTGACGTGGGGATGTCGGATTCTGGACGCCGTGAACACGTTGGAGTTGTTATTGCGATGATTCAGACAATGAGGATGAGGAGCACGTGCTTTCGCTACCAAAGGAAACGCGTAGCTCCACTACGCCTGCTGCGAAGGGAGGGGGCTGTAATGCGATGGTCCTCGAACGTTTCGTGCAGCTTGATGATGTTTGGGTGGTCCATCATCTTCATGATAGCAATCTCCTGGTTGGAAGACAAGGGGGTGATGGATTGCGAAGGCGGGGGCATGAGCAAGAAGCCAGTGGAGAAGAAAGGAGGAGACCTGAAGATGATGAGAGGAAAAGACAGCGACCAGTGCAAACCAAATGCTCGTCAACGACATTGCAATCAACCCTCCCTCCAAGATTCCCCTTCACAGGCCCCATGCAAGGATTCATTTTCACTGATCAATATGTCCCGCTGACAACCGTTTGACGATTTTTTAATCGTGCCAAACACCGCTCCGGGGACTTCATCACCGCGCATCAATGTAATAGCTGCGACCTAGCAATCAAACATGGTGCCCAAATACTTGCTTGTGGACTACAGCCATGAGAACCGTTGAAACTGCTGTGAACTCTCAAAATGAATGCGCGCGGCGCTGAGGCGATAACCACATGTTGAAAACCACCCGTCCTCCACTCGTGAAGCTCTTGCACATTGTCAAAACGAACGTGCGCGGCGCCAAACCAAGACCTACATTTTGAAAACGACCGCAATTTGTTCAAACAGTGTGCGCGGCGCTGGGGCGAGAGCTACATGCTGACCCCCCTCCACCCTCCATCAGTGAAGCTCTTGCAAATGTTGTGTAATGGGTGTGCGCGGCGCGATTGCGAGAGCGACCCCCCCCACTCCATCCGAGAAGCCCTTGCAATGTCCTCAAACAAATGCGCGCGGCGCGAAGGCCAAAACTACATCCCTACCGACACGGCTCGGGGCTCGACAAGGAATATCATTCATGAGGACAAGGAGGGGAGCAGAGAGGAGGATGTGCAGAGGAGGGATGGGGGAGCAATGAGGAGGACGACGAGGGAGGGACAGTGAGGAGGTCTGGTTGGGACCTGGGATTGGGCAGCTCAGGGGGGAACGATATGATCCGTCGTCGCCAGCACGTCGACAACGCCTCACACATGGCCTCCTCCTGCTCCCAGCCCCCTCCACTCTCCTCCCTCCACCTCCCTATCATTCCCCCCTCGTCCTTCCTCTTCCTTCTCCTCCTCCCCGTCCCATGCCCCTCCTCCCTCCTACATTGCTCTCCCTCCTCCCTCCCCCGTTAGGGCCGGCCCACGACTCCGGCGGGGTGGCGGCGCTCGCGGCGAGGCGAGCAACGCCCCGAGGGGCATTCCTACACTTCGACAGTCCACTTAACAGTCCCATCCTCCTCGCACGTATCCGCCCTCCTCCTTCCTCCTGCTCTTCCCCCTCCCCCTCCTCCATCTCCTCGCGCTCCCCCCTCTGCTTCCTCTCCCTCCTCCTTGCCCCACCCCACCTCTTCACATTCTCCCGCTCTCGCCCTTCCCTCTTCCCTCTTCCCTCCTTCCCGCCCCCGTCCTCCTCCCCCTGGCGGTCTAGGGCCTGTGAATCCCTCCCCACCTGGCGCGGATCCCAACCCGAAGCCCTGCCGACCTCCTCATCCTCCACCTCCATCCCCCCCGCCCTCCTTCTGACCATCCACCTCCTCCTCCCTCTTCCTCGTCCTCCTCCTGCTCCTCGTCCTCTTCGTGTTCCTCTTCTGCTGCTCCTCCCCCCTCTTTTCCTTCTCCTCTCCTGGTGAAACCGGTCGAGGTTCTTCATTTGGGTCTTGGAGATCGTCTTGATGGCACGCTCCAGTCCCCCCATCCGCTTGTGTTTGCCCTTGCAGACAGAACCTCCAAAAGAGCAAGGAGGAGGGGAGGAGTGCAGAGGGAGGGGAAGTGGTACAAGGTTGGTCGATGGAGAATAAGCAGTGGTGGGAGAGGGAGGATACATAGACAGGGCAGGAGGAAGGATGAGGGAAGAGTGCGGGAGGTGGAATCTGATGATGAGGAGCACACGACCAGGAGGACGCCGAGGCCGAGGACGAGGCGGGAGGAGGAGGAGGCGGGACGAGGGATGGGCGAGGATGAGGAAGGCCAGGTTCGGTCAGGCTAGCACCGAGGGGAAGAGACTCGCTCGCGAGTCAAGACGAAAAGGCGGGGGTGGACGGAGACCTCTCCGAGAGGGGAATCTGCCACACTGGAGGACGGAGCTCCCACCGCTCCGAGCAGGGCCCGCGCCGGGGCGCCGCTCCCGAGCCGCTCCCCGGCCTTCCCTTCCGGTCCCGGCCCTGGCTCGCGCCGCGACTGCGGCCGGGCGCCTCTCATGGTCAGGGCCGGGGGGGGCGCACGCGAGTGGGCAGCGGGGACACTCGTCCGGGAGGAGGAGGAGGAGGAGGAGGAGGAGGAGGCGGAGGAGGAGGCGGAGGCGGAGGCGGAGGCGGAGGAGGAGGAGGAGGAGGAGGCCGCGGCAGCTCGTCCAATGGACTGTCGGAGAAGGCTGTTGTGGCCCAGGCCCCGACGGCACTTCTCCGAGACCTCACGTAGGAACTGCATGAGGACCAACTGCTTCTTGAGAGGAGGAGGAGGAGGAAGAGGAGGGAGAGGAGGGGGAGGAGGAGGAGGAGGAGGGGGCGGGGCAGGAGGAGGAGGAGGAGGAAGAGGAGGAGGAGGAGGAGGGTTGGGAACTCTGGGACAGATGGATCTCGTGAGACGCCACATCAACTATCAGGTGCTCCAGGGAACGGCGGACGACCTGACGAACGAACTCCGGGGTCCCAGAGAACCCAATAGCCTCTTGAGGTTCCCCCTCGTGGGAAAGATTGATGAAGTGCTTGCCCTGTGTCACGATTGGGCCATCAATGCACGCATGCCGTCCAGAAACCTGCTTGACCAAACGGTGCCTCACAAAAGACCGCTGTCGCTTGGCACGGGCAGCAGCTAGTCGAACGAACTGAGCAGCAAGCTTGATCTCGGCATCTAGCCGATTGGCTGCCTCTGAGCTGGGAACATGGAGCTTGAAGGCTTCCTTCGCATGCTCATCGGCAGCCCAGTTACCTTTCGTTGTGCCACGCTCCACAAACGGTAAGTGATCTATCACGTACGCGCTACGGTGAGCCTTGACGTGCTGGATCGATTCTGCATGGCCATTGCCCTCGAGCGAACGAGCGTGAGCAGAGACGCCAGCAAACACCTTACTGGCACGCAGCTGCTCATGCCCAGCGTGGACTGCGTGATCTCCGCCTTGCAGTCGGCATAACTGCTTCGATTTGCAATGTGCCACGCAACAACAATGGAGAACTTCTCTGCCACTGCAGGGGTCTGCGGATACCCTCCTGGCACTGTGCCGCGTACCACTGAGAGGGTGGCATGAGGATGAGGAAGGGAAGGGATAGAGGAGGGGAGGAGGGGGGGCTGACGGGATAAAAAAGGAGACACAGGAGGACATGGGACAAAGGATGGGCGGAACCGTACGATCCCTCGCCGATCTTCTTCTTTTCCAGATCGTAGTAGTCAAAGATCTTGCCTTTGTTGTCTATGATGAACTGTGCTTTCGACATGCCGCCAGCGGCGACCTCCTTTGATGGCAGAGCCTCGGGCTTCTTGCTGCCTTTGGAGGAATCCTTGCCTTGCTGGGAACTAGACCCGGCGCTTGCGCCGCACCCCATGGTTGATTGGCTGCACTGGGTCTTTTTCAGGTCCAGCGCGGAGCGTCCGTGGGCCGGCTGGCCAGTCGCGGGACGCTTTGGCTTGAGCTCAGCGGCAAGGGATATCGATGGCCGCTTCTACGAGAAAGCTGGGCGGCGACAGAAAGCATCCCTCTCGGCCCCTTCCCTATTTCCCCTTTTCCCTTCTACTCCCCTGTCGCCACTTCGCCATGCATACGTCTCATACAGCAGGCTGTACGCAAACACGCACCATAGCCTCCGCAGTTGCGGATAAGAGTGTGGGGCCGTCAGCAGTATGCGAGGCTCTGACAAAGCCCGCCGCGGCTTGCCGCTGGCGCCAAGTTTTCGCCAAAGCAAGGTGGGTGGGTCACGGGTGGGTTCGGGGTGGGTCGCGGGCGGGTCGCGGGTGCGTCGCGGGCCGGTTGCGGGCGACAGCAACGACAGCAACAACCAACAAGCAACAAGCAACAAGCAACAAGCAACAACAACAACAACAACAACAACAACAACAACAACAACAACAACAACAACAACAACAACAACAACACCAACAACAACAACCACAACCACAACAACAACAAACATTTTAAGACTGTTCGCCCTTATCTGCTCGAGTGTCCAAAAACGCGTATTTCCCAAACCCTCGGTACCCGCCCTCTTCGTCTTCGATCGAACCCCTTTTGGGGGGTATACCTTTCTTCCCTGCAGGCCCGGCCTCGGCAAGCGGCGGGGCGGCCGCGGACCGTCGGCCTGGCCAGCGGCAGCGCTGATCGGCGGGGCCGCCGCGGACCGTCGACCTGACCCCAAGAGGGACAGACAGGGGACCGACCACGACGACGATGACGACGACGACGACGACGTCGACGACGACGGCGACGACGACGACGGCGACGACGACGACGACCGAAAGCGAGAGCGAGAGAGAGAACGACAGCAGGGCCACGAAGGACACGGAGTACGCCACGAAGGGCGAGGGCGGGGACACGAAGGGAATGCGTATTGGGCCACGAAGAGCGCGAACGAGCGGGGGTCACGAAGTGCAGATAATGCGAGGCCACAGAAGGCAACGATGGGACCACTGAGGATAACAACTGGGCCACGTAGGACAGTGAGGGGGCCACAAACGCCGACAGCGGGGCCACGAAGGGCATGCACATGGGGCCACAACGGGCGCGAACGAGCGGGGGCCACGAAGGGCATACGTAGATTGGGCCGCGGAGGGCAAGGACGGGGCCACTGAGGACAGCAACGGGGCCGCGAAGGGTAGCGAGGGGGCCACGAAGGGCGACAGCGGGGCCACGAAGGGCATGCATATGGGGCCACCACGGGCGCGAACGAGCTGGGGCCAAGAAGGGCATACATATATGGGACCACGAACGGCAGCGAGGGGGCCACAAAGGGCTGCAACGGGGCCACGAAGGGCAGCGAGCAGGCCACGAAGGGCTGCAACGGGGTCACAAAGGGCTGCAACGGGGCCACGAAGGGCAGCTAGGGGGCCACGAAGGGCTGCAACGGGGCCACGAAACAAAGCGAGGGGGCCACGAAGGGCTGCAACGGGGCCACGAAGGGCAGCGAGGAGGCCACGAGGAGCTGCAACGGGGCCACGAAGGGCAGCGAGGGGGGCACGAAGGGCTGCAACGGGGCCGCGAAGGGCAGCGAGATCCCGATTCCTAGGTAATCTGTGAGGGAGTCCTAAGCGTGAGCGCGACTCCTGGGTGCCTGGGTGTCCGGAGCGCGGCGCTTGAGCAAATTGCAAGAAATTCCACCGCAAGGGCGCTATTCTTAGCAAATTGCAAGCAAATCTCCAGCGAGAGCGCGACTCCAGAGCGCCGGGAGAGCGATTCCAGAATAAATTGTAAAGATGTCCCAAGCGAGAGCGCGATTCCTGCATAAAATGCGAGGAAGTCTCGGGCGGGAGTGGGGGGTCCTGGCTCAATTGTGAGGAAGTCTCCAGCGGGAGCCGTTGTTGTTGTAACCCGGGGGCCAGGAGCGCAGTTTGAGTATCAAGACTTTCCCTGTCAGAAAACAAGGAGGGAGCGTCGAGGGGCACACTTTGACTGAGAGAAAACAAAATGCACCAGTGATGGGGGTGTCAACAATAATTATCTTCAGCAATGAGAGTTCAACAACAACAGCAACATCATCATCAACAACAACAACAACCAACGCCAACAACACCAATCCTCAACGCGAGCCCCCTTCAGGCACGCACCCAGGCATAGTGTAAGACCCCCCCTAACTCTGATGTCCATATGTACAAAGATCTGTTCAACCATTGCTTGCACACCAGAGCAACCAACCTGCACAACACAAGCTTGGACTTGCCAACACAGCGGCAAGTGTGGTAATCCTTCTCGTGCTCCTCCACCTCGTCCTTCTCCTTCTCCTCCTCCTCCTCCTCCTGCTCCTGCTCCTGCTCCTCCTCCTCCTCCTCCTCCTCCTCCTCCTCCTCCTCCTTTGAAATCCCGAAACGGTGCGGTGACAGACCGTGCGGTGACCTCGGAACCCCAAGAGACCTCACCGCACGGTCCGTCACCGCACGGTCTTGGGACCCAGGAGGCCCCTGTCGCCCGAGACGTCCTCGGAGAAAGACCCGAGTCTCAAAACCGTGCGGTGACCCCGAATCCTCACCGACTCACCGCACGGTGTGGTCACCACCCTGTTTGGGGACCCCCGATCCTCCTCTTCGTCCTCCTCCTCCTGACCGCAGAACCGCCCGCTGGGGCCCGTGCGGCGTGCGGCGGCTGTCACTATAGTGGTCGCACGAAACGGCTCCGAAGCGGCTCCTCCCAACGCCATGTAATGAATCAGAACGCCCTGAAGCCCGCTATCCCGAAAGTAATTCGCCCAACGGTGTCGGAACGTCTCGGGGGTCAGAAAAGAGGAAGGATAGAAGATGTCCCGCTGCCGGCAGGCATGCTGAAAACGTGTTTCGGTGGGGCGGCCTGGCCGTTATCCTAGAAGGCCACAAGAGGAGCCAAGAGGGCACAAGGGAGAGGCATCGCCCTGAGCGGCCTCACAAGAGGCTCTGGCAGAGTCACATGGCTTGTCCTGGCAGGGCCGAATTGCACCTGTCAACGAGCGTAGTCTGCAGAGCCAGATGCTCTTCGCACTCGTGCAATGGCGGGAGAATGACACGACCAAAACTGTGGGGGGCATTGGATCAGAAACCCTTAGATAAGGAATCAAGGGTCTGGTGGCCAGTGGAACTCCAATTCGGCCATGGACATCACCGCCCCCCACATTGGATCAGGAATCCCCCAGGGTCTACAACCTCTTGGGCACATTCCTTAACGAACGCCTCCACCGTACACACCCACCCACTCCCCACCATGGCCAGTCGCCCGTTGGCGAGCTCGGCGTTCAGCTTCCTCCGCGGTGCGTCCCGCCCGGGCAGGCAAGAAGAGACGGGAGGCCTGCCACAAGGGATCTGTCGATCCTTCTCCCCGAATCCGTGGGGTCTCGGCATGGGTCAAAACTTTGGAGCCCAGCTCGGGGATATACGACTGGGGGCGTCCATGCTCAGCATGGGGTGCGTCCGGGCAGCCCCTCTGGGGGTGTATCCTCGAGTTCCCCCCTTTTCCGCGCGGCTTGAGGTTTCGTGGCAGAGTGGGGGGCTGGGGGCGAGAGGTGCTGGTGGTGCAAAGATGGGGTCCTGAGGGATGGGGACCTCAGGATAGGGAGGGACCTAAGGGTGGATTTACCTTGTTCGGGGAACCTCATCGTTTAAGGACTGTTCTGCACCAGCCAGCGTGGCTGTCGCTACGCATGGGCCCATGCGAGTCGGGGCCCAACCATACGCCGCGGCATCGAACAAAAACATCCCGCAACGCCAAAAGAAATCGCGCGCAAAAACTACATCGAACAAACATATGAGAAACGTGGAACACGACAGCAGTCGCCCCCAAAAAACGCTTGGGGTCCTGTTCAACCCGAGTCCTCAGGACCCCATCCCTCGTGATCCCATCTATGAGCCACACCTGGAGCCTGCTAATAATCCACGACCCGACCTTTGGATACAGAGCCAGTGGGGCAGGACACCGCAGGAAGTT